TTTTCTGAGATTGTGGATTTGGGGTTTTCATGAGCTGTAAGCCATAATCATCACAGTTATGACACATCACGGCTTGAACTATCTTGCTTTGCATGTAATGAGTCTATCTCATATATTAGGTTCACCTTTTAAGTTGCATTACTGAAATAAATGAACTTTTGCACGATATTCTAATTTTTCGAGTTTCACCTGTAGATGTATATAACTGTAATGTAAAGAGCCTAAAACCAGTAGATGTCAGGCTTCACATAGGTGCAAAATCCAGAACAAAATCTATTTTTAGGAGTTGGGTTACTCATAAACACAAATTGGCTATGTTAGCTTCTTTATTGCAGACATTGTACATTGAAAATAAATGAATGGTTTAAAAAAAATCAAAACTCTTATATAAGTCTGTGCTCCTGCAGCTCAGTTCTAGGGTTTTTTCCTCCTACCTTTTCAATGTTTTTCTCATTGTCTTGAGTTCCTTGGAAGGCACTTCTTCAGTGTTAATGATTTTCTCTAGCCTGGAAATCACCAGTTTCATTTCTTACACCACCTTTTCCCCTCTTTCCCCTTTCTGGAAGTGTTTTTATATACGGGTGCATGTGTGTGTGCACACATGCATATGCCCCCTCACACAACGCACTGATTTCTGGTTATGTTTATCTGAAGAGCAGTGTACCTCTCCTTCCATTTTCCACTGGCTGGAACTGACAAGAGCTCTCACTTTTGAGGCTTCTTTTTCTAACTGAAGATAATGTATATGTGTATATGTGTGGGAGGGGAAAGGGGAGTTTCATTGTTTTATTCAGCTCAAATAGATGATCTTTCCCTTTCAGGCTTTTATTTGCTTCCCTCCTGACACCAGCCATCCTCCAACTTTTCAAGAATTCTCCCATTCCAGAATTCCAAATGGGATAGATTCACTCTCCCCGTCTTCCATTAGCCATACAAAATGTTGAAATGAAAAGACATTTTATGTGTGGCAGCTTATAATTGTTCTCTGGTGAAAGTTTGCCTGCATCCAAATTTCTTTCATGTTTGTGCCATTTAGAGAATTAAGAGTTCTGTGTCTGATAGTAGTAATAGAGAATATGTACAGCTTGGGATTGAAATGTTGGGATCTTGGTGTTCCCTGAATTTGGTTTTATTTTTGCAACATGTTATTATCTAACAGATGAAGCTCAGCAGCTTTCTTCCATGCTGAATGTTGGAGGCACTGGATTTCATCATTCACAGTAACTGGATTCTCAAAGTTAACTTTTAGTCATGCCACAGAATAAATGCAGTTGGTTTTGTCAGGGCTATTTTGAATGAGAGAAGGGGTTGCCCAGTTTTGCATTCTTAATTAGTCATTAGATAAATTATAAATCTACAAATTCAATTATTGGGTCACATTGAATTTATAGTTCATGTTGAATGAGGAAGAATGTAAATTTGCATGGATTCTTATCAGATGTGGTTGCTGCAGCAGTTGCTGCAGGTCATGGGCCAAGATTAGTATGAAAGGCACTCGTTATGATAAGATCTGATCCACTTACAGCTGGTTGGGCTAGCTGGTTCATCATCTCAGTCTGATACTGGAGTATGAGTTGCAAGAAGGTATTTAGTCAAGATCTAGTTTCTAAGGAAAGGTTTTCCTCCTACATGGATAGGAATAGGAATGGCAAATCGCACTGTCAAGTTTCACATAGGCATAACTCTAAGCTCTTGTCACTTAAACTGCTATTTAGGAGTTGGCTTACTTGGGGGAAAAAACCATGGGCATCCCATAAGAGCATTATTTTTATTGCAGACAAGACTGAAGCTATGCATTTGTTCTCACCAAATATATAGAAACTAAAGCCCTTATAAAAGTCTAAGTCCCTTAATTAAAATTCTAGAATTTTTCCTGTCTTTCTGTGTCAAAAGTTATTTGGACATTCTCTTCCTGGCCTTGGAAGTATCTGACATATGTTAATATAATGATTTCTTCTAACTATTGTTTCTTTCTTCACCAGTATAGTTGCTAGGCTATTTTAAGTTGCTTTTTTTTCAGCTATTCCATTCAGTATTGATATATGTGTCAGACTAATCTCATTTTAAAATATTGAATATAAGAACACATGAATATTTGTTCAACAAGAAATTGTACCTAGGAAATCAAAGTATTCCTTTAATGTGCCTAGTGATAAATATGTCATTTTAGAAGTGTAGCCTAAGAACACCAAAATAGGAAAAGTATTTTGGATTAAGCAGAATCTTTCAAAAGGGGCTTTCTTCTACTTATCCAATGACCTCCAAGGTCCCTTCCAACTTATTATTATTATTATTATTATTATTATTATTATTATTATTATTATTATTATTATTATTATTATTATTATTATTATTATTAAAAATCTAATAATCAATAGGAAAAAAATTCTTTTTCCATCTCTTCAGACCGTAAAGCTTTTTTTTTTTTCTATTTCTTTTAGGGGGAGTTTGTTTCATGTCTTTTGTCATTGTTGCAACAAATGACTGACAGACATTACCAGCAACTCCTTGACAGATTCAAGACAAGAGACATGCTGAGAGTAAGTCTTTTTTTCTCCAGGATTGATTACTATTTATTTTATATTTTATGTGTTTTCTTGACATAGGGTCAGTGATATAATGTATCAACCAGTACAGCTTTGATATAATGGTCAAAATAATTAGTAGCAGATAACATCTTTGGAAAGTCACTATAAGAATGATAAACAATAATATATTAGCTTATATATATTCAAAAATGCATACCTAAATGTCTGTGGAGATTCTCAGTCATTCATGTCATGGTTGTCCGAAAGATGCTTTTTTCAAGAGGCAAGTGAACTTTCTTTTCCCTTGAAGATATTTTATTTCTCATCCAAGAAGCTTCTTCAGATTGATATTAAATACTCACATCTGCAGTCTTATCTGTATTTCAAGCAACTTTATAAATCATAGTTGTCAATCAATAAAAGCCTGTATGCACAATAAGTATATATTATATTCCAGCATAACTGCTACTGTCTAACTCAAACCAGAAACTGATTTTAATAGACCATTATGATGTCATAATTTTGTTAGGCTATAATAATATTGGCTTGCTGCCTCAAAATTGTATTATTTCAATAGTTCTTCATGTTGTGCGGTATTTTCAGTTCATGATCATATACTAGATGTCCATTTCTTTGTCCTTAATGGTACATATGTTCCATAGCTAGGAATTCTTTGGGTATGAATTAATATGGAGAACTGTTATGTACCTCAATTTATATGCAATGTAAATGAAACCTCCTGGATGTTGAAGTGTTATGGACCATGTGTGTCTGCCTGTCTCCCTTCACTAAATCTATTTTATCTTGAGCATTAATTTCAGTTAGTATGCTTGGTCTCTTTGTAGGCCACAAAATTGCACAACTCTGCTCCATGCAGAGATCATTTGCAAGAAAGCACAGATGAAATAAAGCAGACATGAAAGAGTAGAAGATAGAAACAAAACATAAAAAACTATTCACATTTTATTTAAGGACTTTTTATTGCTAGTTATTTCATACAGTTAGTGCTCAACATAACTATTCATTTAGTAACCATTCGAAGTTAGAATGGCAGTGAAAAAGGTGACTTATGACAAATCTCACATTTACAACTGTTGCAAACAATCCCATGGTCATATGATCAAAATTCAGGTGCTTGGCAACTGGCATTGTATTTATGACAGTTGAATTATTCCAGGGTCATGTGATCACTGTTCTGTTCGCGAGTCAAAGGCATTGAGACGAAGCGAGTAACAAAAAGTAAGTCTTCTTTATTGTAAGTCAGCAATAGAACAGAACCAAAAATGGCGTGCAGGCCTTTTATAGTGTCCTTGCAAGGACAGCATCAACCAATCATTGCAGAGGCTGGTTTCCTGCCTTGCGCATGTGCGCAAGGCTGGAGACAGCCAGTCTGGTCCCTGGCAACCACGTGGTCTGCCTGGGAATCTCTGCAGCATTCCTGAGCCTGAAGAGTGATTCAGCAGGGCCAGGACATAACACCCCTCCCTCCTGGATAAAACAGTAAGTAACCCTTACTGTTTACAGCAGCAAACATATACATGTGTTCAATTGGCATGTTGTTATTACTAAACACATTATGCCTGCACACAGGCAGACCCATTCAGACATTTAACGTGTACAAGAATACACAATGTTACTACAGTGAAATATAACACCCTTCTGTAGAGTGTAAGCTGAGTTCTAAAGAACTATTAAGCCACCCACTTGCTTGACAGGAACCTCACATAATCCTTTAGATGTTTGGGTGGACCCTTGGCCCTCTGTGACCTTCTTGGAACCGGTGTGTGTACCTGGCCTGCCAGCTCGCCTGCCAGGCTAGGCAGACCAGGACTTTGATGCTTCAAAGACCAAGGTGACCCACCCAACTGCTGACTGGCTGGATCCTCTGAACCCAAACCAGAGTTCCTTGGGGGGGTGGAATTCCCCAAGTCCACAATGGACCCCTCTTGGGAGCACTGTCCCTCAAGCCCAAGACCAGCAGCTGGAGTGGCCTGAGTAGCTGATTGACAACAATGTCCCATTGACCCAGTGTCTGTGCCAAAGGTGCCAGAGTCAGGAGCCGCTTCCATGGCAAACCCCCCTTCTGGAGCAATAGCTGAAGCCTGTGAAAGTCCTCTTGGGCAGAGAGATTGTGGTCCACGATCGTAATTGTGGTCCTCCTCCCCCCTGAGAGCAGAGCCAGGAATGGAAGTGTTGCTGGGAAGCCTCCAGCGCAGTTGGTCAATGTGACGTCGGATCATACGACCATCATCCAAGGCCACTTCGTATAACAGCGGCCCAGAGACCTTGCATACTACTGCTTGTCCAGGTCCATAGTTCCTTGCCCAGACCGGATCGCCCACCTGTAGTCTCCTAGGTGCCCGCAGCTGTGACACCTGTGAAGCCACCCGGTCTGGGTGCAACCTGTCCAGTTTCGTGATGAGGCGGCGACCCCAGCAGAGTTCTGCTGGGCTCTTCCCAGTGGCTGTGCAAGGTGTGGTGCGTTGACAAAGAAGAAAGTCAGCTAACCTGTAGTATGCACCATCCTCTCAGCCTGGCCTTTGGAAGCGGGATGAAACGGTGCTGAAGTAGCATCCCGGATCAAGTTGGCCTGTAGAAAAGCCTGAAACTCAAAAGAAGTGAATTGGGGGCCGTTGTCTGAGACCAGGATATCAGGAAGTCCATGGGAGGTGAAGATCCCTCTGAGCACCTGGATGGTCCTAGCAGTAGTAGTGGAGGAAACAGGTACAACCTCTAGCCACTTGGAATGACTGTCCATGAGAAGAAGGAAGAATTGCCCCTGAAAAGGCCCAGTGTAGTCGATATGAATCCTCGACCAAGGGGCTTGTGTTTCCTCCCACCTATGAACAGGGGCCTGAGACATTTCAGGCCTTGACTGTTGGCACACTTGGCACCCATGAACCTGGGTCTCGATCTCTTTATCGAGCCCAGGCCACCAGAGATGGCTATGCGCAAGCGCCTTCATCCAGACTATACCCAGATGTACCTCATGCAGAGAGAGCAAAACTCTAGTCCTCAATGAGGCTGGGATGACTACTCTGCTACCCCATAAAAGGCAACCCTTGAAAGTGGAAAGCTCATGCTTCCTTTGCCAGAAGCTTTGGAATTCTGCACCTGGACACGTGTCAGTCCATCCTGACAATACCCATGTCAGCACACGTGTGAGCGTGTGATCAGTGGCAGTTTCTGCAGCCACGTCCCTAGCATTGAGGGGAGATTCAGGAAATTCCTGAATGGAGAGAATATGAAGAGCAGGAGCAGGATCTGCCTCTAACTGTTTTAGAGGTAATCTGCTGAGGCCCATTTCTTTGCCTGGTTTGGGAACCAGGGTGTAATCATATGCTGACAGGAAAATTGACCATTCCAGCATTCTAGGAGATATTATAGGGGGGGGGTTGTTTGTTTGTTGTAAACAAACCCAGCAGAGGCTTATGGTCTGTGTAGACTGTAAAATGGCGGCCATGCTGTATAAGAAATCATGAAATTTCTTTATGCCAGCCACTATGGCCAAGGCTTCTCTGTCAATCTGTGCGTAATTACGCTCTGCAGATGACAGAGTCCTTGAATAGTAGGCCACAGGGACTTGTGTCCCATCAGCCTTCAGATAACTAAGCACAGCCCCAACCCCATAAGGAGAGGCATCACATGCGATGCACACAGGCAATTGCTCATTGAAATGCGCTAAAACCACATTTGAAGAGAGCAAGGCCTTGACATCTGTAATGCTCCTTTCACGGACCTTTGTCCACTGCCATGGAGCCTGTTTGTCAAGAGCCGGTGTAACAGCCCAGCCACTGCAGCCTTGTGGGGAAGGAAAGAATGATAAAAATTTAACAGCCCCAGGAAGGCTTGAAGTTCACCCTTCGACTGGGGGCTTGGGGCCTGCTGAATTGCTTGGAGCTTGGATTCAGCAGGATGGATGCCTTCAGCATCAATACGAAACCCCAGAAATTTGGTGGAAGTGACTCCAATTTTACATTTATCTTGCTTCAGCTTCAGCCCCGCTTGGCAGAAACGAAGCAAGACAGCCCTCAGCCTTCCAGCTAGATTTAGAGATGACTCCCCAGCAATGAGGACATCAAAGTAGGGACAGACCCCAGGAATACCGCAGAGCGTTCGCTCCATCACACTTTGGAAGATGCCAGGTGTCACGTTAACCCCAAACTGCAGCCTTTTCACTTTAAAGGCTCCCCGGTGCATCACAATTGTTTGAGCCTCAGCTGTTGCCTCATCAACAGGTAACTGTTGGTAGACCTGTGCCAAATCAAGCTTTGCAAAGAGACGCCCCCCTTTGAGGGAGGCCAGAATGTGGCTGACCACAGGCACTGGATATGCATGCTATTGCAGCGCTTTGTTAAGTGTACATTTATAGTCCACACAGATTCGGACTTCTCCATTGGTTTTCAGTGGCATCACTATGGGAATTTCCCATGGACTAGAGTCCACAGGTTATAAAATACCCTGCTGGAGCAGCTTGTCCAGCTCTGCATCAATTTTGCTTTTGAGGGCAAAAGGCACCCTTCTAGGATTGATCTGGATGGGTGTGATAGCTGAACTGAACACATCAGCAAACTCCTTGCAGACTTCTGCAAGGCCTGACATTTGCAGACTGTGCAGTCCAGTCACTTGAATCCCAAGGGCCTCGAACCAATCGAGTTCAATGAGACTCGTGCGATCACCCCCAACTACCACCACATCTAGCAGGCCTTCCAAAGTCCTACACTGCACCTTGAGCGTGGCCTCCCCCTTCACGCTGACTCTGGAATTCTGGAAGTCAGTGAGAATTAAATTCGATGGCCTGAGTTTAACTCGTAGGCCACTTCTGCTGCAAATCCTTTTAAAGGTGTCAAAAGAAATGATCGATAGAGCGGACCCTGTGTCCAACTCCATTGACAAGGGAACCCCTTGCAACTTCACGTTAATGTGAAGCTTTTTCTTAAGTGGCCTATGAATTCCTGTCCTGAAAATGCTCCTGGGCGATGTGCAGAAACTCACCCTGTGTTAGCTGGGGA